CACACAGTATGTCTCTCACGTGAGAACTGTCAGCGCGGGGCTGGATAGGAAGCTGTGATTAATCTCCCCACGCCTTGTCTCCCTCACGCATCTGCCCCCCTGCTTCCACCTCGTCCCCCTCCCCCACCCCCCTGTACCATCTCTCCTTCTCGCCGTTCCTCGCAACCCACCACTGAATGGTGATCAGTTCCAACGAAAACGATCAAAAATGTTTGATTGACTCTTTTACCATAGTTGATGTCCAGCAGTGCAAAAACACATACGGACAATCAGAATTTTTTAAAGAGTAAAGTTAAGTGACTAACGTGTGAGGAGCTGTAGCGTCGTTCGGCTGAATGTGCGAGGCGCGCTGTCGGGCCCCGGGAGGCAAGCAGTGGGACGCGGGTACCCCTCTGACAGCAGAGCAGCACCCTGAATTTCTCATGATACAATATCAGAGAGTAGGCGTGTCCTGTGCACGGCGCCACTTGTTCTCAACGTCAGCAGGCGCGACTGCCTTCGGCCAGGCGGGGATGAATGAGGGCCGGGTAGGGCGGGGTGTCGAGCGGCGACGCCAAGCTGCCAAACTTGTCTCTGCACTTGCTGTAGGGGGGCCCGGCCCGCGCCCGAGGGGGGTGCCGGTGCTGGGACCAATTTCATTTCTTTTTGGACCAGAGCGCGAAGAAAAAGAGAGGGAAAAAAATAACAGGGCGAGATATCCAAACCAAGGGCAGGAAAAAAAAAAAAACGACCGACGGCGGCAGCGGATAGCAAGAGAGAAGTAAGGAGAGGTTTGTGTGCTACAAATCACACACACACTGTAGTAATGAAGCGCGCTGCCGGGGGCAGGGCGGGGGCGGGGTGGGGTGAGGTGGGGTGAGGTGCGGTGAGTGGGGCTGCGTGGATCGAGGGGAGCGTGTTGGTCTGCCTGGCCAGGACAGTTTTCCGCTTGTCATGCACTATGTTGCGTTGCGTCCGAGGTTCACGAGTGGGTGGGGAATAAACTATGACTCCTGAGAGTGTTCTATACACAACGGTATTGGCTTGGTTGGCGGGGCGGGTTCGAGGAAGGGGCAACGTCAGCGGAGCTGCTTGTGGCTGGCGTAAACGAGCAAGTTGTTGTGAGAAGAAAAAAAAAGGTTCCATTAACACGTTGAGTCCCAGGGAGGGGGGAGGGGTGGAATCACGTGTCATTGTGACCATACATGTACCTACTCACGTGGGATTCAACGTGTTTAACAGAAAAAAAATACGGTGGTGAAATGATCTATTTTATGCGTCTTAAACTGATATTCTGTGGGGAACACATGTAACGTATCCAGATCTGCTGACTGTACCGCTATCTACAGAGACCAACCCTCTCTGCCCCCTCTACATACACACCTTTGTTTCAGAGTGGGTTTAGGGGTTGTAAGGGGAGAGGAGGTGGAGGGGAGAGGGGCTGAACTCGATTCAGCCCCATCCCCCCTACCTAATCTTTTACGGGGTCTTTGCCCGCTAACGTCAACCCCATCATCCACCACCACCACCGCCCCGCCACGCCCCCCGGCCGCACGAACAAGCCCCGCTCCGCCCCGCCTGGTTGATGAGAGACGCCCCAATAATAACTCTCCGCGTTTCCGCGTCCTGTTGATTTACGATTGCATATTGCATGCTGCACGACACGCAACACGACGCCGGCAGAGAATGTAAGTAACACACAGGTCTCGATGCACTGCAACAACCCTTGCAAACAACTATACTGTGCTGCATGATACATCTTGCCGTCAGAAAGCATACGTCAAATGTCGAGAGCAAAATGACGACAACAATGATGGTCTGTTCACAGCAGCTCTCCTCGAGCGACCGACCATCAGACTGACTAAGGGAGTAGAGCACAGACTGTAGCGCGGCGCGGCGGGGCCGGGGCCTGGGCGGTGCACGTCAGCACACCGCGCACGCCACATCGAGCAGCGTGTCTCAGCACAACGCTGCATCAATATTAGCTGAACATCCTCGTGGGTACAAGCGCAGCCTGCAGTACTCGCTGCGGGCGGATCGAGTGGCAACACAGGCAAGACAACAACAACCTTTCAATGGTGCTTATTTTTGAAAGAAACAAAAACTAGTGCTTAGGAAAACATCGTTAGTATGATTTTGGAGTGCCCATTACAGACTGTGACTGTATCGCTGTATGAAAATTTCACAAAGTGTATTTTAGACCCCTTGTGAAAATTCCCATTTCTCGTGCCATAATGCTCTACACCAGACCTCCCACACTTCTATTGTGCTTAAGTGCGCTTATAATATAAAATATCCTCAATACTCACTCTCTTTGTACTGCAGGACGTTGACATGCTTCTCGTGGATGACGACACAGCGATAACACGAGCCTTTCCTGCAAAGCAGATACAAAACATATTAGAGCACTTACTTAACTTAGATATTGAAGCACTTAAACTACGACAACAGAGTGAGTATCCAAGTAAACACTCATTATCAACGCACTTTTTGTGTCATCGTTTTTCTTTGCCTTCGTTTTGGTTGAGCGGTCGTCCAGTTGGACTGCTTTACAGGTCCCCCACCCCCACCCCGCAGCTTCCTCTTGGCACACACTGCATTCTTATCCTTATACTGATTTTTTCACCCTTTGTCAGTATTCCTGCTGCGTAAAATCCTTCACAAGCTACTGATAACGGCTTTCATCAGTAGTGCGAAATTATTTATGTTTTTAAATTACTGACATTGTTTTCTTTTATCAGTGAGTCACTTACAACAATAGACAGATTAAGTAACAAATTAGTCAGTAATCCTGCTGCGTAAAAAACTTTATAAGCTACTAGTAGCTAAAATCAGTGCAGGTCTGAGAGTGTGGCGTTTCATTTGCTTTGACATCGAAATTTAAAAGGTTTGCAAATACCCGTTCGATCAAGTATTCGATTCTGACATCAAAGCATTGTGACAGGGTTACATTATCAAAGTCCTCTGTGAAGGCGTCGAATGGAACGATGATATGTGAGAGAGAGCAGGGAGAGGGAAAAGGGGGGGGGGGTCTGCTACTGTGTTATTACGCTACCGGAGATAGAAATAGCCGGAGTAATGTGTCCGGAGTGAAAAGAGCAGTAAGCGGTATGCGCCAAGTCACCACCACTGTAGAAAATATCCTTGTATATTTACGATATTTTGCAACTAATATTGACAAAATATGTTATAAATTTATGGCAACCTAAGCTTGCTCGTCGATGAACTCCTGTAAAGCATAGATAACTATATTTTTCACAGTGACTGGACTAATAAGCTTCGTTGTTGATCAGCCAGTGAGTTGTACGTTAGACAGTATCCCCATCATTTAGTTAAATACACGAGCGGGAAGATTTTGCTGGAGAAGTAACTGTCATTGAAAATTCCGCCGGCAAATACGCGCGGATAAAATTTTGCCCTCTCCAATTTGTGAGCCGTTGCTGGCAATAAGGATGCATGGCGGGCCTCACGGCCTACGGCCCGGCCGCCTCCGTTCCGTCTGTTGCCTGTCAGATTACAACGCGGCCTCGCGGGGGAATTCAAAGGATGCGATGCGATTTCGTTAAGAGCAACTCCGTGCGATGTTTTTTTTCCCCTTCGCTCCTCTTCGTCTTCCCCCCTCCCTCCTCCTCATCCCCGACATCTCCCACCGACCGACGCCCCTACTACAAACTCGGCCTCTCCTAAAGCCCGGTCGGCGCATCGAACACCACCATCCCGAGGCAGAACGGGGCGCGAGATCTCGAGAGGGCGCCTCGGTCCGGATAGGACCTATGAGGTGGAGGAGAGCGGGGATGGGGCCGAGAGATCTGCTCGGGGAGACAAGGCGAAATGGTCGGGTTATGCTGTAGGGAGGCGTAATCAAGGCACAAAATACGAGTGAGTATTCAGTAAATTTCCGTAGCACTCAAGGAAATTTCCGTACCTCAACTCAACTTTTTTCCTTTTAAGAAAAAAGTACATTAAAGGGCCGGATTTTTCTTCAAACACGCTTGAAGTTGGACCTAAAGCGGGAACTCCGTTGGGCATCGTCACTTACTGCGGGACAAAATTGTGCCATTTCATCCTGACAACTTTCAAGTAAACAAGTGAAATTTGTCCTCCAAAAGTGTTATAAATTTTTCACAAGCAAACAATGTGCTAGAAAAATTACAATTTTCTAGAATGGCATCGTCCTTTTTTTAACGTCCACTGGTGTGCATACTTACTCGTCCACGACGAGGTACTTCTCGCCGTCCGACGCCACACAGCGGCCCTTGTTGCTCAGCTTGTTGTGCTGTATGGTGATGCCCTGCCGCACCCCGCTCTGGAACCACTGGCCCTCCCAGCGACTGGGAAACCGGCACGACCCTGCAACAGAGGCACACACACACTGTAGGACACTTTCTCGAATAACTGTATAGAATATATTACACGAGGCACTTTCGTGCAAACAATGAGACATCGCAGATATTTTCGAAAATATGATTGGAAAAATTCGCGACGGACCAATTTTTTCGAACAAATACAAAGACATAGATATTTTCTCTCAGCTAACAACTGTAAACCTAAACTTAAAAACTAACCTAAAATAATCATTTCCATTTGTCTCGTAGAAACATTTTTTCGGACACATTTTTTGGGCGCTAGCAGAACGACGTACAAAATTGGAAAAAGCAAAAGAAGTGTCGCGCCGCCATACGTGGCAATTATACGGCGACAGGGTGGCAGGACGGTGTCGAGTCGAGGGGGCCGCAAAAAAACAGGCGGCTGGCAGTGGCACATGTGCGGGCTGGCTCTCGGACAACGGTAATGACCCCCCCCCCCTCCCTCTCGCTCACACTCTTGAGGGAGGATCACCCCCCCCCCCCCATCTCAGTCCAATCCTTTGCTAGAAGAGTTAGCACACGCGGCTTTGTGTTCGGCACGAGGACCGCCGGACTACTTCCATCTATCGGCTGCTGATCGGTATCAGGGAGAGAGGGGATCGGACGGGACGGCGAGCGGAGGAGCGAGTTCTCTTCCTGCCGCGCCACGAGATAAACGAATCCAAGGGGGAGAAAAGACGTTCACCAACAAAATTAGTGACTCAAATGGGGGAATTCCGGACAGATTATTTTTGCAGTATATGCGGTCATTTAATATCCGATATGCAGAGTCACAAATACATATCGAAATCAAAGAAGGATAAAATAGCTGTGTGTAGTGTACCGACCTAGAGAGACCTATGTACTTAGCCCCCAGTTGGGTCATTTCTCTTCTGTCCCGTCTGTAAGTCGCCGGAGACTCGACTAGTCGGAGTGTGGCGGGCGAGGCGGCGGGGGAGAGGGCGAGTAGGGACGGCACACCAGACTTAGCTAGTAATATAGTGTTGTGCCGCAGGGGGCAAGCTTGTCGCAGATGGAGCGAATTTCAGAATGGTCCTTGCAAAAAGAACGCGAGGCGGGTAAGAAAAGGATTTAAACGCAGCAAAGGGAACATTCTCTTTAAAAACCGCACCTTTTAAATATTGAAAAATTAATCATTTACCCCGTCCTTTAGATACAAGGAAAGACGGCGCCTACTCACCCAAAGCCTACGGTCTGAGCAGCGTCCTCACCACAACACCAGCTCACACACGCACACTCCTCCCCCTCCAGCAGCCCCCCTAAGCCCTGTGCGGCCTGGTGCTGGTCAGAAAGAAGGGATTGGAAGCAGCCTGGGCAGCAGCAGTCCCAAACCGGTTCGGAACGTCTCCTAAGGGAAGCCGCAAGTACCTCTGTTTCTCTACTGCTGCGGGCAGCTGCTCCCGCAACCTCTGGTACTTTTTCTTTTCGTAACAACAAGTATTTTCCTCACTCTTTGCGTTTTCCGGCCCTTTTTACCCTCCTTTTTTGTTGTATAAGGCGGCAGCCGATAAAATACAGACTCGTGCGCAGGAGCACACAACAGCAAGTTCTCTCCTTTTCTCTCCTCGACAACGAGCCCGTATCTTTCGTGGACCGTGTATCACACTTTGGAAACAAGGAGAAGGCGTGGGAGGCCGGCAGAGCGGCCTGCTGACCGGGCAACGAGTTATTTAGGCTTTAAATTGATGGAGTGCCAAGTTCCTCGAGTCGAGCTCAGGCGTGGCGTGGCGCTGCTGGCGTGGAGGTCAGTCCTGCCAAGCCACCCGTCCGCCTGCCCGCCAGCCTCGTCTGACCGGTACTGCTGCTGGCCGACAGAGAGACCGCCCCCTCCCACCCCCTTTTCCCTTCTCATGTCGGCCTGGCGAACCCCTGACAGCCCTTGGCATTTTTCTTTGGGGGGCTGCGTGCGATAGGGTGAAATCAGCTGTGAACTAGATCAGAGGAATAGGGAAGGAGAGGAGGGGTGGAGGGGGGAGACGCAGGATTAAATCCAAGACAAATTTTTATCCGTCGCCGCCTTAGAGAGAGAGAGA